TGACCCGTGACCTCCTGCCGACAGCGGGCGTTCAACACTTTACGTGGCCTTAAAGTGCACTTCGCCTGGCACGATGACGTGTAACGGTATCGGTGGTACAAAAACTAAAAGAAATATCCCCCGTGTAGCCTCTAACAGACTGTCGGGGCAAGTGCTGTTAGCGAGTAGCAGCAGTAGCAGCAGCTATGAAGGAGACAAAGACAAAGATCCCCCGTGTAGCCTCTAACAGACTGTCGGGGCAAGTGCCGTTAGCGAGTAGCAGCAGCGCCTATAAAGGAGACAAAGACAAAGATCCCCCGTGTAGCCTCTAACATACCGTTGGGACAAGTGCTGTTAGCGAGTAGCAGCAGCTATGAAGGGATGGCCAAACACCACGTCCGGCCGCCTTTGTCTCCCCAGTGGCGATGTTTACACATCGCACCAGGTGCTCATTTGAGGCTGAGTTGACCTAGGTGAGGTCCATGACATGTTCAGATAATTTGTCACTGGTGTTGGCCGCGAGCGGGAATCGAACTCGAGTCCACCACTACCGACACGCCTGTACGATACCCGCACTTAACCAACGCGGTACGCGTACTCTCACACCTGTCAACCCCTTATCAGTGCCCTACCTTAGTACAGACCAATTCAAACATTATTGATCGCCCCGTGCCCCTTATAAATGTAAACGTCTACACTATACACTACACTATACACTACACTATACACTACACTATACACTACACTACTATACACTACACTATATACTACACTACTATACACTACACTACTATACACTACACTACTATACACTACACTATACACTACACTACTATACACTACACTAATATTGGTAGGAACCTCCTGGTTACACCAGCCCACAAGGGATTATTGTGTCCGTCCGTCCGTCGTGCAGGGAGGGGCTGGGTGGGGAGGGTGGGGAGGGGCTGGGTGGGGAGGGGCTGGGTGGGGGGTGGGAGGGGTGGGGCTGGGTGGGGAGGGGCTGGTCACCCCGTGGTGCCCTTATACAACTCAACGTTTAACCTACTCACGCCGGCTTGTGCCCGCCCTCACAGTCGGGCATATTTGCGGAATACACCACGCCGCCATTGACCCTGGCCATTTGCCGAGCAACCCAACGTTCCTACCAGCTCTCTCCGTAGGAATGTGTTAAATCTCAACGTCCATCCTTTCCACTACACTATACACTACACTACTATACACTACACTATACACTACACTACTATACACTACACTACACACTACACTACTATACACTACACTATACACTACACTACTATACACTACACTATACACTACACTACTAAATACCTGTCAATCCCTTATCAGTGCGTACCTTATTACAGACCAACTCAGATCGTAGTTGGTCACCCCGTGCCCTTATAAATCTCAACGTTCATCCTACAAAGTCCCATCACCAGGGAGAAACACAAACAGACAGACAGTGTTTTGCCCGTATTGAAACATCTGCAACGTCCGACGTATGGACCTGAACAACTCAATGTCCCCGTGCAAGACTACGGGGTATAAACCGTATGGGTGGACACGGCATGTAACTAACTCTCTGCCTTTCCACTTGCTGTACAGCATAGCAGGGATTCTAGATTTGAAGTTTTCGTGACTGCAAGGATTCTTACTCTTTGTTTTTTTCGGTTAAAGTCACGTCGGTAAAAAATTAAAATAAATTAAATCACGACGTTTCGGGCGCTAAGTTGTCCCCACCTGAAGAAGGACGCTTGTGTTGCGCCCGAAACGTCGTGATTTAATTTATTTAAATTTTTTTGGAGGTTTGGGGGACTGGTGCAGTTCACCGGGGTCCGCCAGGAGGGGGCGCTGGGCGGTCGATTTCTCGCGCTCGCATTGCCACCAAACTTTTAGGGGCCGTCATAAATGACGTCACGCACCTGGGGGGGGGGGGGGGGGTGGACAGACATTTGTGACAATTTGTGACGAGGGGGGGGGGGGGGGGGGATTTGAGAAATGTGACGTCACGTAAAAATGTGCAGCTTTAAATAAATATAGAATTGTTATAACACTAATTGTTATAACAACACTCCTACAACGTCAGAGTGCAGCGCCACATTAAATACGCACTACAATGACAATAGTTTAAAGCGATTTGAAGCATGTTTTATTTTCAAAATGGAAATATGGTTTTGGTTCTTTCGGTAAAGTCACGTAGAAGGGAAATAATACAATAATAAAAACAAAACATAATATTGTATTTTATTATGTTTTATTATTATTATTTTATTATAATATTGTATTTTATCATGTTTTATTTTTATTATTTTATTATTTCCCTTCTACGTGACTTTACCGAAAGAACCAAGAAGATGAATCCTTGCATTCACGAAAGCTTTAAATCGAAATTTAACGATATTTTCAAAATGGAAATATGGTTTTGGGGGGGGGGGGGGGCAGAGCTTTGTGACGTCATATTTGAGGGGGGGGGGGGGTTGGACTTTTTGTGACGCCGTGTGATGAGAGGGGAGGGGGTCAAAAATCGTCCAAAATCGCGTGACGTCATTTATGGACGGTCCCTTAGCATGTAATCTCACCAGGTGTAAGGCCCCAACTGAACTGCGAAATATCGCGGTTTCTGTTCAGAAACGACTTTGCTATCACAAATGATAGCTCAACGAAGTGGGGATTTTTATTTATTTAAAGCGTTCGTGACTGCAGGAATACATATTCTTGGTTCTTTCGGTAAAGTCACGGAGAAGGGAAACAATAAAATAATAAAAATACAAAACAATAAAATAATAAAAATATAAAACAAAACAATTCTCACGACGTTTCGACTGCAACACAAGCTATCGTCATCAGGTGTGTGTTTCACACGTGGAGTTTTGTTCGGATGAACGATTAAATGTATACGGGGCACGGGGTGAACGCTAAGGTCTGAATTGGTCTGTAATGAGGTAGGGAGGCTACTGATAAGGGCTTGACTGGGATGGCAGGGTTATCGTGTCATTACGACTTCACGCTTAACATGATGCAATGCATGCGATGGGGTGAGGGGCGGGGCTAGAGTGGGAGGGGGCGGAGCTAATGGTGTAGGGGGCGGGGCTAGAGTGGGAGGGGGCGGAGCTAATGGGTGTAGGGGGCGGGGCTAGAGTGGAGGGAGGCGGAGCTAATGGGGTGAGGGGCGGGGCTAGAGTGGAGAGGGGGCGGAGCTAATGGGGTGAGGGGCGGGGCTAGAGTGGGAGGGGGCGGAGCTAATGGTGTAGGGGGCGGGGCTAGAGTGAGAGGGGGCGGAGCTAATGGTGTAGGGGGCAGGGCTAGGGTGAGAGGGGGCGGAGCGAATGGTGTAGGGGGCGGGGCTAGAGCGAGAGGGGCGGAGCTAATGGTGTAGGGGGCGGGGCTAGAGTGAGGGGGGCGGAGCTAATGGTGCAGGGGGCGGGGCTAGAGTGGGAGGGGGCGGGGCTAATGGTGTAGGGGCGGGGCTAACCAAGGGAGAGGCGGGGCTGTTTGGGGGGAGGGGGCCAGCCACGACTCTCCAAGATGGCCTCCACCTCTCCCCCGCCCCCCACTCCCCCCAGTTTGACACTAGCCCCGCCCCTCGCTTTGCATCTCCTCACGCGGATACGCGACCGCCCCTCACTCTCGCGCCGCCCATTGGCTAACGGCGTTCGTCAACGTCGCTTCCCCATTGGTCGCTGGAGGGGGGAGATACCCGAGCTCGCGTGCGTGCGTGCGTATCCGGACTATGGAATGTGAAGGCTGCTGGAGATCGACCCCCCCCACCACCACCTTGCATCCCCCCCCCCCACTATCCACCCACCACCATCTACCCCACCACCCCCACCATCCCCCAACCATCCACTCTCACTACCCCCACCACCCCCACCATCCCCCACCATCCACCACTCACCATCCCCCCACCATCCACCCCACCCACCACCCACCCACCAAACCCCCCACCATCCACCCCCACCATCCACCCCCACCATACCCCTCACCATCCACCCCCACCACCCACCACCCACCCCCACCCACCACCACCCACCCACCCACCACCCCCACCACCACCCACCATCCACCCCCCACCACCCCTCACCCCCTATCCACCACCCACCCACCACCCCCCCCACCACTACCCCACCCCCCCACCACCACCCACCCACCATCCACCCCCCACCACCACCACCCCCCCACCCACCCCCACACCCCCACCCACCCCCCCACCCACCACCACCCCCACCCCCCACCCACCCACCACCCCCACTCACCCCCCACCACCACCCACCACCACCCCCCACACACCCACCACCACCCCCACTCACACCCACCCACCATCACCCCCACCCCCCACACACCCACCACCCCCCTACCCACCACCCCCCCACCACCACCCCCATCCGCCCACCCACCACCCCCACCACCCCACCCCCCATCCACCCACCACCACCACCCCCACCCACCACCACCCCCCACCCCCCCACCACCACCCCCACCCACCACTCACCCCCCCCCACCACCACCCCCACTCACCCCCACCCCCCCACTCACCCCCCACCCCCCCCACCCACCACCCCCACACCCCACCCACCACCCACCACCCCTACCCACCACCACCCCCCACCCCCCCACCCCCACTCACCCCCACCCACCACCACCCCCCCACCACCACCCCACTACCCCCACCACCCACCCCCACCCCCCACCCACCACCCCCCACCCACCACCACCACCCCCACCCCCACCCACCACCACCCCCCCACCCCCACCCACCCCACACCCCCCCACCCCCATCCACCACCACCACCCCCACCCCCACCCACCCACCACCCACCCCACACCCCCCACCCACCACCCCCACCACCACCACCCCCACCCACCCCCCACTCACCCCCACCCACCACCACCACCCCACCCCCCCACCCCCACCCACCCACCACCCACCCCACACCCCCACCCACCACCCCACCACCACCACCCCCACCCACCCCCACTCACCCCCACCCACCACCACCCCCACCACCCCCGCTCGCGCCGGGCCTCCATGACGGCGCGAGCGCTCCCCCGCCAGCCATGTACTTCGCCGTCGGCAAACCACGGCGGCTTCTCTTCCCCTTCGCCAGCGACGAGAGTCCTCACTTCGTGGCGGCCGACCGCGAGCGGCTGCTGCTGGCCGCGTTGTCACGGTCGCAGCTGTCCGTGTGGTTCGCCAGGGTGAGTTTGATGGGGTTTTATTTAACATTTTACCTCACTCGCTCACCCCGCGCCGGTCCCACTCGGACGCGCCGGGTCGGAGTCGCCTTCGTCGGTAGGCGAAACTAGCCGAGCGGCGGTAGACGTCGGGAGGGAGGGATTTTTTTTCGCTAGGCCGCACTCGGCCTAAAAGTCGATTGTTGCTGTCTCTTATTGTTGTTGTTATGTCCATGGGGCTTGTTGTTGTTGTTGTTTAAGCGGTTTATGTAACGTGTCGTCGGCGTTACCGACAGATGCCGACGTAATGTAAACGATTTATAATTATAACGCGAATCAAAGGGGGGGGGGGTGGCAGTCGCGTATTTTCGCGGGTGTTTGCGTTGTGGTGGAGTTTTGCGTGGGGGGCAATGACGATGAACGTCATATTATGTTAAGCTTACGTCAAACTTTGCGTGATTTCGATCGTTTTGTTTGTGGTGGTGGTGTTGTTGTTGTTGTGTAACAACACTGCGCTACGCACACCCGGGCGAAACTGCGTTCAATTCCGGCCACTCATCATCGGTGGCGCAAATATTCTTCGGAGTGACCCTTGTGACCAGCGTGGTGAAGTATGGTCAAACACCTCGCCCCCCCGTCTCTCCCATGACCGACGAGGCGTGGGTAGCCCTTGATCCAGCAGTGGATTGACAGGGCTGCACATTAGGTTTGTTCGGTAAAGTCACGTAGGTAAAACATTAAAATTAATAAAAGTACAAAAAAATAAAAATCACGACGTTTCGGAGGCAACACAAGCTTCCGTCTTCAGGTGGAACCGTCACAGCCACGACAGCTGTATCAAGTAAATGAGAGATTGCAGGAGCTACCACTCCGTTTATATAATGGTTATTAATTAATGTTTTACCTACGTGACTTTAACGAAAAAACCTAAGAATATGAATCATTGCAGTCACGAAAGCTTCAAATCTAGAATTGCTACATTAATCGAGTCGACCGCGGTGTCAGACGTTGAAAGAGTCTCAGAATCGCGAGAGATCCACAGCAGTTTCAGGAGGGGGCCACCCCGCCTTCATCCAGCAGTGGATTTGACGACGATGATGATGCCCAAGGCGGCTGTCAATGTGGACGTACAGGTACCCGCCACGATAATGTGGAATTTCCATCGCTGGCCTGACGACTGCTGACAGGAGGCTTTAATTGACTACCCCCCCCCCTTCTCCGTGGTTTTTACGAGGCAGAGACTTTAGACAGATATTTTTTTGACGATTTACCAACAACGTTGACGACCTGCGATAGTGATGATGTTGTACTTTACTCCCGTGACGTGTAAAGCTACTTCACCACGCGCTTAACGTTGATTTTTTAACATGCTAATTCTCTCTAATGGGGCCGTCAGGGTTAGCGTAAGCTCCGGTATGAGAATTAGATGTGCATCTACAACGCCCATGTCATGTCGTCAATCCACTGCTAGATGAAGGCCTGCCCTGCCCCGCCACACGCTGTGTTTGGCCAAAGGGCAAGTTGTGTTTGACCATACTTCACCGCACTGGGCAATGCGGGTTTGTAAACGGATTTGAAAAGGCAAGAGCTATGGTGACCCACCAACCCACTCACTCATCGTGTTGGCTGTGGCCGGGGATCGAACTCAGGTCGCGTGGATGCGAACCATTGCGCCCTCCTGATGATAGATGTACGCTTGCAATCGATCGCTGTAATTAGAAGGCTCTGATTCGTCGTTTGCCTTGGTTTAGTTTGACAAGGTTATGTACACACTTAGTTACAGATTCACCGACAGCATACAAAGATCCCCCGTGTAGCCTTAACAGACTGTAGGGGCAAGTGCTGTTAGCGAGCGCCTATGAAGGCCGCCACGGCACACGAGGGGTGGGTGGGTGGCCAGCACCACGCCCGGCCGCCTTTGCCTCCCAAGTGGCGATGTTTACTACACACCGCACCAGGTACTCATTTGAGGCCGAGTCGACCTAGGGGAGGCCCGGGACCGGTTTGGATCATCGTCACCGGTGTTGGTGGCCGTGAGCGGGAATCGAACTCGGGTCGCCGGGTTTGTAGCGCAGCGCGCTTACCACTATGCTACTACTCCCCATATCTGAAAGCATAACACGCATATTGGTTGTCAGTCCAGTCTTGGCAAACGCAGATACACAGTGTTGTCAGAAAGCATCTATAAAATATTTTTTTTTATTTAACCAGGTGTAAGGTCCACTGTGCTACAAAGCTATTTATTCAGGAGCTACCTGGCCTTCACAATTGATAGCTCAACCAAGTGGCTGATCATCATAATCATCACGTGGAAATGTATAGCAGCCATATACTCTAAGCGCATGATGTTGATTGTCAATGTAGAGGGGAAATACCGGAGGACCCGGAGAAGAATCCACGCGACCATGGGGAGAGAGAGAGATGCAAATTCCCAATATACAGCAGGTATCAGGATCGCGATCGAACCCACGACCTCTTGCTTGCCAGGCGAGGTAGTTAACATTTCACCACCGTGGCACCAATTTAAGTGAGGCACAGCCATAAGTCTGTGTTAGGGTGGGCGGGTGGGCAGTGCTCTTGCCAATAACATCTGATAATCCAGGAAGTCTGATACATCAGCTGACGTATGTATGTTGAACTTTTATCGCACCGTACATATCCAACCGTGCTCACCGGAGGTGCGCTGGCAAGGACAACAACTAAACACAAAACAGCGGGTTGTAAAGAAATTCGTTTTCAATCTAGTTATGAGACCCAGAAGGTTGAAACCGGTCCGGCGTTTTCTCTCTTAGACAACACGTGCCATTGAATATATTGGTCTGGAAAGCCCATCGGCATGATGGAATTAAAATATACTTGTGCAGGCACAGCATGACGTTCTGGTAATATTTGCATGCGTCAATGATGCTCCGTGTCAACACAACAAGACAGAGATCTTCCTTCCTGTGATATTTCCGTGGGCTTTTCTTTAACACAACTGTGGTGATTGTGTGCGTGTGTTTGTATAAGAGGTGGTGTGATGTGGCAAGAGGTGTCACAGTGTGGGGGGTGGCGGTGGCGCAGCGGTTCGCACAGCTGCGCTACCAACCCCACGACCCGAGTTCGATTCCCGCTCACGGCCAACGCCAGTGACGATTGTCTGAACAGATCCTGGGCCTCCCCAAGGTCGACTTAACTTCAAATGAGTAGCTGGTGCGGTGTGTAAACATCGCCACTGGGGAGACAAAGGCGGCCGGGCGTGGTGCTGGGCACCCGACCCCCTCGTGTGCCGTGCCAGAATTCAGAGGTTCTCACTAACAGTCCTGTTGCAGGCTACACGGGTGATCTTTGTATTTGACGCAGCTAGCAACACAAACACGTGTCCCTTCAAACCCAGTCCCTCTGTGCTGGACACGCCTTTGACCAACTCGCTCTGGACGCGCCCCTCGATCTCGGCACATCTCTGAAGCTAAGCAGGGTCGTGCCCCGGATAGCCCTCGGATGGGCGGCCACACACAACAGGTGGTTATAGGACAGCTACGGGGAGGGCTACGTTGTGAGCTACGTTGTGGGCAGCGGTGTGCAGAGGCGTAATATCCATCGTGCTTCTATGCTCCCTGCTTTCGCCAACCCCCGTAACCGTGCAGCACGGTGAAGTATGATCAAGGAAAAAAGCCTCTTATTCGCAACGGTGTAGGGGATGCCATTGCCCAGCAGTGGATTGACAAAGGGCTGTGTACGACTATATTACTACAACAACAACCAATTCATAGTCTTGAGTCGACCCCGGAAACCCCTGAAAGCAGATCGGCACCAGTTATTTCGGGAATGCCGTGGCAGCGTTGCATATTCTTCGTTGGCGTAGACTGTCGCGTGTTCAGGCTGGTGGTGTAACTTTCAACGGTTCCTGCGGGGCTGTAGCGGACCGGGACCCCCAGGCATCGAGCTACTGAGAGAGAGCGGGTGAGGGGAGACATTGGACAGAGGGGGGGGGGGGGGGGTCCTCAATTCGTTCTTTGAAACCAGGTGCCTCTTGTCAACCATTGGCACAAACGCTAATATATACACAGCGAGTAGTCGTTTATCGCCGCTGGTAGTAGTAGTGGATGCGTTCTTGAAAAGTACCGCGTGAAGCGAAAAACGCCTTCGAGCGAAAACCATAAATAATGTGTAGTCACGATTAAGTTTGGCCAGATACGACGCACTACCACTACGCTCACCGCGCAGTGCGACGGCGGGACAAGATAACCGAAGGTACGGCGCCACCGCCGCGCCGTTGCCGCGTATCACTCCTCGTTACCAGAGGTCGCAACCGGGTACCCGATACCCGTACCCTACCTGATACCCGTCTACCCGTACCCGGCCGGGTACGGGTACCTGTTTGCGACCCTGGTGCGGCCGTATATTGGTACGGGTAGGCCGTGAGTTACTGGTGAGTAACTGTTTGTCACTCATTTCCCAACGTCTTGTCTCTTCTCACAGTTCAAGTTCCTAGAATCAACCCACCCGCGCCTGCAAAATGGCTTCATCCCAGAGGTCGCAATCAGGTACCCGATACCCGTACCCGGGTACGGCCGGGTACGGGTACCCGTTTGCGACCCTGGTGCGGCCAGGGTACGGGTAAGGAATCAAAACCCGTTTGCGACCTCTGCTCGTTACCTTATCGCCGTACCGCTCGGTCGTACAGCTCGAGAAAGTAGTTAGTCGTCGACCGATCGGAAACCGCTTTATAATGGCGGTGCGCGTTCCCCGTTGTGACGGTGGAGCGTATCCCGCGTTGCACGAAAAGTGTTCTCTTATGGAAGAACGCCGTTATAGCAAAAGCACGTTGTGCGAATGCGCGGTAAGCGAGGTCTTACCGTACATTAATAAGTAATATTTAAAAATACCTTTTTAAAAACACGCTTTTATGAAATGTACTAGTAACGGAAGAACTCCACGACTCCAAGAAGTGGCCTCGAAGCTTGCCATAACGTCAGGGATCGTGGTCAATTACAGCCAACGTCAGTTTACCGTGGACAATTAGACCCAAGCCGAAACATAAC